AATACTCTGGCATCAGCTCGAGAATATTTAATAAGGCTGTGCTATACAGAGGCATTACAAAGAAGTTACTCTCATAATGGATAATCTTAGGAACTTGGGGATGGTTTAGACTGGAAAGAATATTAATTTCATTGATTAAATAGGCACCATTACCCACAATGTTGTTGGAAGCTATGGCTGTATTTGTCCCCTTGCCGTCATCTGGGATATTCCCAGATCTGTCATCTGCTTTCCCTTTGATACTCCTTTTGGCCATCTTCATTGCATATTTATGCCCATCTATTTCGATTTTCCAAACCACCCCAAACGCTCCTTCACCAATCTGAGACAAACACACCACATTCCTTGGATTCAAAATTTCTCTTCGACAATCTAACTGCTTGCTATGTGGCCTGGTAGTATTAGGCACTTTTACAATAGCATCCCCACTGCCTTTATTATATTCCATGGCAACAAAATACAAAAATATTTTGTATATTTGTAAATAAATTTATTTTTAACTCACCATCGGTTAAGAATGATCATATTTGGTCTTCTATGTATTTGAGTCCATCCTATTAATCACTTGGAGAAGTTACTACGATCTGAATCTATGATTTGAGTTCATTAGCTTTGTCAGGTGCTTCACCAACTTCCAGCAATAGCAAGTGTTACCCAGAGAGACCATTGACTATTCTGTCTAACCATCTCACCAATAGTTTAATTTTTACTTCACCCCTTTAAGTTCTATGAATTATCTGTCTGATGAATTTATTCAAATAATCTCTGGAGAAAATACAAGAAACTCATCAGAGCTAAGGACTTTCTTAATCAACCACTCCAATATGCTTATTTATGCCTTGGCTACCAAGTATAACTTCCAAGTTATTAATCTGATATACACTCTAAACATCGCCGACATTGCTCCAAACAACTCCATAAATCTATATAACTTATATTCTCTCCACTGGCTTTACAAGATGGGGAGGATCAATAAAGTGTCTTACACCAACAAGATAAAGAGATTTGAAAGAATGAAATTGTTTAAGGAGAATTTAGAGAAAGTAAAGCATGACTATATAAAATATCAGATCGGAAAGAGAAGAGGCAAGGTAGATATGGCTGAATCAACAACCAACAAGAACATGGCAAGTATAAACCATAGCCTTGTATTGATCGAAGACTATTTGAACAACTCGTTTACAAAGTATCCACTAATATTTTGTATAGAAATCGACAGTTTTATTTATAGGCCATCATGCACCAAAGAATTTCCAGACAACGAAGAAAATATAACTCCTAATGACAATCGTGTCAAATATAATATATGCAGCTATGCTCTTAATTGGGAGAAGTTGGTCTTTTTGCTTGGTGTATTGAATAAAGTTAGTAAATATAATCTCGATTGTGAAATTTATAGTGATGGTGGAAAAGGCTTGGAGATGCTGAGAAGTTATTGCAACACCAGGAATGTTATTAAGAGTTCATCTGCACGAGAAGCTGTAGCTTTGGACATCTCAGGGATATTTTTGTATTCCAAAAAAATCAATATTGATCATTCCAAGAAAAGGATATATTTTGTCAATATAGATAGATCATATTCGTGTAGAAATAATTACCTGGCAAATTTATCTGATGAAAAGTATTTGGGAATTGACCACTTGGAGATTTGCTTAAAAAACTATATTTCAAAATATTGTAATTGACAGAAAGAATAATTTTAACATTCCTGCTATCAACTTCCATAAGTAAAAACTTATTATAAATATCTTTATTTGCTTTACTCTAACTGTTATCAGAACTTATAAATGGATTGGTATTTCTAGAAATATGCATGGCGTAAAAATACATAGTAAACGAAAGTTTATTGCTTTATGAATCCTTATCATCCAACACAATCGATTTCATCTGAGCCTTGCCAATTCACCTAATTTCCCTCCAGATTTTTGTAAATTATTTTTAACCCTCATGGTAGTCACAGAACATTCTTCGGCTGGCGATGGGATGGGTACGAAAGACCACTTGACTGGTATCTTAGACAAATTCCATGTAAATGATGCAGAAATCAAGCCAAGCAAGAGGAAGTCCTTGATGGCTGGTGTCAATTCACTAGTTATGATATTTCTTTATGGGGTGTATCTTTCTACCTCAGGTATATACGGTCCAGAGTTGATAAAGTCCATATGCATTCACATATTTGGCTATGCTGCTGTGGGAAATATTCTCTGCTCATTTTTGAAATTAAATCCATCAACACAGTTGTTCCTTTGCTCAGTACTCTTCTCAATTTCAAGTGGAATCAGCCTAATCTTTCAAGGAGAAGGTTCAAAGTATGTTGGGCACGACAAGATAATTCTCCTTACATATGGGGTTGCTGGAGTTTCTATCGGTGCTGTTATGAATACCGTACCTTGTTATATCTCTATAGTATCACCAAGCAAGTTTGTTCCATCTCTACTTGGATGTATTGGGGGTGTTGGAATTGTGGGTGGTCTTATATTTGGAAATACCCTCCAATATTTGGAGAGAGACATTTTCCTATTTAACATGGTGATATTCTGTATTTCTATAGTTGAGAGCTTCCTCTTCATATACTTCAGAAGGTATGCCCAAAAACATAGACAGACTGTGAGGAATAAGTTTTTTAATTTGGAATCCTGGAGATCCATACTTGAAAACGGAAAACTGAGTATAGTTCTTATGGTGGCTGCCCATTTCGCCCAGCATATTAGTGGAGCCAACTATCTAATTTTCCATTTTACAAATATATTTGGTGTGCAGGGTAAAATCTATAACTTTAATATGCTCTACTTCTGGGGCATGTTTGTGACACTCCTGGGTGGATATATACAAGTAATAGGACGGAAAAAGCTAATTCTCTTTTCAGCATTCATCTGTATTTTAGCAAATATTTCATACTATTATGAAATCAATAATGCCATCACTTCCTACCTTTTTATCTTTGGATTTAACATGGGACTGGGAAACATTCCATTTGTACTCATTGGTGACATATTTCCAATTGAAGTAATTCAAGAAGGAGCTCTTATTGGAACATCTGCAAATTGGATTGGTGGAATATTATCGTCGTTGGTGCCGATTGAAGAAACATCCAAGGGAAATGTTGCCTTCCTATGGTACATTGGTAGCTTGATGGTATTTGTGTGCTTATTCTCAGCATTTTTTAGTGAGACCAAAGACAGAAAGGCAGACTATCAATAAATTCATTATTAAAGCATAGATTTCTCCAAGGATTGTCATAAAAGACTTTGTATCAAAACAAGGTGTTTTAATGTTTATCTTTATTTGTGATGGATAACAAATTCATTACTCTACTAAAATTAATTGCATTTTAATAATGTAACATAGATTACTTTTTCTTAGAATATCAAACTTGAGAACTATAATCAGTGCTTTAAGTATAATATACAATACTGTTTTGTAAACCATTTAATATATCGTCTGTCTATATCACTCATTCCTTCTTATTATGGCATAAACACTTTGTTCTTCTCTTGAAACACACTCTACTGCAAATCCTGCCTCCTCACACAGGGATCTTAGGCCATCTTCATCAAACAAGTAATAATATCTAAGCAAATCATCTTCTCCTTTCCACGAAACTAAGTAATCTCCACCGTTTGGCACTTCATCCTTAACCTCGACCCTTGGAGAATCCATATCTGGACTTATTTCTACCATCTGAGGATTCCATTCAACTCTTTTGCCAGCATGTTCACTTATCAAAGAATTGATTTCCTGCCTCTCAAGGGATTTAAATTTCTTCTTTATGGATGCACACTTGTGCCATGCATAGATAAGTCCTATTCCACCGACTCTCATTACTCTTTTCATCTCTATCATTGCCTCAACTCTTCTTGAATGAGTCGACAGGTGATGGATAACTGCAATACTTAGAACAATGTCGAATGAATCACTTCTAAATGGCAATCTATGAACTGTTCCACGAACAAGAGAGATGCTTCTCGATGGAGAACTCTTCCGAAGTGACTCTTTCAACAGTTCAAAGCTATAATCCAGGCCGACAATGCTCAAAGAAACATGACTGCTTTTAATATATTCATTCACTTCAAACTGTCGACCGTTTCCACACCCAGCATCCAGAATAAAATCTCCCACAGAATAATACTTTCGAAAAAACTCAATAATGAATGGCCATGGCTTCACCCTTGAGTCTGAAAATACTCCAGACTTTTTACTGTAAAACTCATGCACAAACTCTCTTTCAAACTCGTCATACTTATTGCTGGAGTTGTCCATTTTACTATCTGGCATGATGGGTAAATCATTTCAAAAATCCTTGATAGCTTATGCACCATATTAGCTATGAATATGCATGTTCTTCCAAAATCCATGGCTACAAATGCCGTAGGGTTTCCCTTGTGAATTTTCATTGCCTTCTTGTAAATTTTTTGGTTTTCTGATCCCCTTTGATGAATTCAGTCAGATTTACCAAGATATCTCCTTTTGCAGTCATACCACAGAGACATTCAGAAGGTGCTGCTGGATATGATTTGTGTAGCATTGATTCTGTAGTTGTAGAGCCTGGGTGTGGTGCTCAAATCAGCACTGGGCTGTTAGTGTTTTTGGATCCCAGCCTACTTGCTATTATTTTTTCCAGATCTGGCCTAAGTATCAAAAATGGAATCTGTGTAAAGGCCTCATATGTAGCCGATAGAGAAGAAATAAAAATTAATTTATTCAATACAGGAAAGGAGCCATTTGTGGTGGAGCAGTTTATGCGTGTGGCACAGATGTTATTTATTGAAAAACAGGAACTGTGAATGGGTGTAATACTACAAATAAATTAATTTGCCATACTTTTACTATGAATTTTTTTGGAGACCCAAATGTGATCAAAGCTATACACGAACTAGAGGAATAAATCTACAACAAAGTATACTACTATGCGAACTAGAGGAATAAATCCACAGCCAAATACACTATTGTAGTTGCTCATATTGAGTCTTGTAATTTTTCATAAAATTTAATAATCTGTTCTATTTTCGTCTATTCTTTTCCAAATACTCATTTTGCTGTTTTACAACCTCTAACGAATTGGCACATTGTGAGTACATCTCCAGCAAATCCTTATTTAGTTTCAAAAACTCATCACCATAGGAAAATCCTTCAAATACACCTACAGCCTCTTCTTTCTCTCCCACTATATATAGCGCAGCACTAAGTGCCTCAACACAGTTTAGTTTGTATGGTTTCCCATAGTTGATTGTATTTGCAGCCACCAAAAATGGCAACAGCCGACCGTTTTTAGAACTAATATTTACTTTTCTAAAATCGAACGAATCTATCTGGTTCCAAGAACAATCTATCAATCCAATTCCCCGTCTTTCCATAAGTTCTCTGTCAGCAGGAGAAATAGATTGAGTTGCATTTGGGGCTAGAACGATTCCATTGAACCGACTCTTCAGATTGAGTGACTGAATTTTGTTGTACTTGACCATCCTGTGGCCGGAACAACGCTTTGGATCGCATTGACCGAATTCATAAATGACTTTGCGCATAGATGGGGGTACAGATTCTAGTGAATATTAGACTGAGAAAGAGTTTCGGCTGTTAGATACTCACTGCAATATGATACTTGGTCCATGAACAGATATTATTTAATAAAGGAACCAACAACAATGAGAATATTTTGTCACTTTTTATAGCCCTCAGATGGTAAAGGATGTTGGCTTGGAAACTGTGAACGACATATCAATGGAAATACAGAAGACAATTACATTTATGAAGGAGCGATGCTATAAACGAGACAGAATGTTATTTTCCAATTCTGGGGAAAATCAAGACAATAAACCAAATATGAGTACCGATACTATCTTGGAAAATGCCTATAAGAAGAAAGAATCTTCTACTAATGATACTTCCCACTTTACCAATTCTCTCGGTAACTTATTAAGGTCGTTCAAAATTGAGCTTGAGCTTTCAACTCGCCTGGAATATGTATCAAATGTTTCTCAATTCCTCAGCGAAGACTGCCTGGAAAACTATGACGAGAACAAAGAAATGCTAGCTCGGGATGAGTTTATACGAGTATGTAAAAAGATTGAAGATGAGGAGTTTAATAAGTTCGATAGCTCAGATGATGAATAAATGGAATATGCTATGTTTGATGAATATAAGGAGGCTATTGATAGTAGTGTGCTTCATGCTATGTTTGATGAATATAAGGAGGCTATTGATAGTGATATGCTTATGCTACCATCAATATTCTTGTATTTATAAAATATCGTGTTTTATTATTTTTTGCCCCTCATGATGGCTTCCTCCTTAAGCATTGTCTATGACCACTTGGACAACCCAGAAAAACTCACAGAGTATTTGAATAATGGAAGATCATTTCCAAAAGACTTAGCAGATTTGCAAGAATTGTTGAATCTTCCCGACTTTGAAAGATCTAAAGTCATATTTTATGTGGAAGTTCTGTCAAAGTCCATAAAGAACCAGGAGGAACTGACAAGATTCTTTAAAATTCTTTTGGACTTCGTTGAGAGGGAGTTCAGTGCAAATACTAATGGCATATATAAAAACAGTGTATTTCTGTTAAGAATACTTAGAAGTATCTCCAGAACTCGTTTGTTTGTACCAGTCTCATACTATTTAACCAAATTAATGTCACTTGCAATCCAGACGAAAGTTGCTGGTGGTTCGAAGAGCTATTCCTATGATGATATTCGGCTAAGCTCTGATGATTTGAAAAATGGGGAGTTGCAACTCTTCATCATTAGGGAATGCATGGGCTTGATCAAGCTACAGTGCTCATTCCAAGGAAATTCTATAGGATTCCCAGAGTTGTCCCATGTAGTCTGTAATGAATTACGAGTTCAATGTAAGGTGGGCGTATATAAAGAGATAATTGGATCGTTGATAAAACTGTTGGAAGACAGAAAGATCTATATTGAGAAGATGAGACAGAATTATGACGGAGACATAGGTGCTTTCGAGAGTTCACTGGAAAAGTGGGAAATTTTTGAATGAGACAATATTTATTAAATTAACTAGGCTGAATATAACAGGTTTAAATATTGTGAAGAATGCATCTTGATAGCAATTGCTTTCAATCCGAAGTTTTGTTGTTCTTTGTCTTTTTTGTGTATTTTGCAGACCGTCCACGCTTCTTTTCTTCCTCTTTAAATAACTCCTTTTGCATCAGGAAATTCTGATCAATATATTTTGCATTTAACAAATGTTCAGGTGTAAGAATGCTGGAAATAGAATCGGCCAACTCGGCTATTCTTTTTGAAGTTGAATGTGCCATAGAGATGGCTGTAGAGTTGTGTTGGTCAGTGTTTGCACTCTGCATAGAATGGGTATTTGTTGAATTGGTTAACGATGCATCAGAGATATTACCATCAGGTGATTGACTTGCAATAGAGTTACTTTTGATTTGATTTGCGTATGTGCAGGTAGAATGAGGATAGGTATGGACCGAGGATAGATCATTTGTATTATTGTTTTCAAATGATGCTGATGATGAAGATTTCTCACTACTTTGGGTAGATTCTATTTTTTTTACTATGCTACTAACCACTGAGTTGTCAGCAGTAGTGTGTTGTTCAGACTTGTTGTTTTCAATTTTTCTGACTGAACTGAGTATTCTTTCACTCGTCGGAGCATCATCTTTTCTCCCCTGCAACAGATGAATTCGATCCTTTACAGTTAATGTTGGTAATGGCTTCTCTAACTTATCCTCAGGTAGCTTTTTATCTAGATCTGAAGTTTTCATGGCATCTAAACAAAGATAATCCAAATATTTAATTCGAAACAAAACAAAATGTTTCGTATTTAACATCTCACAGTAAGTATCTGACAGCGAGGATATCATAAATGAGGTGAAATTAGAAAATAATTGTGAATGGGTAATAAACCATATGCAAATGGTTGTGTATCATCCTTTACATGCCATAGCATTGAAGATTGCAGATCTAGGATTTTATAAATTCTACTGTCCATGGATTACAAAAAATACCTTAGAATATAATGCAGATTGTTTGTTTCCAAACAAATAATTCGCTATTTATTTATCAAACTTGCTACCAATTATATTTATTTCTCCTTTTTTACATTTATTGAAAATAGGATCCTTAACCCATGGATGCAAAAATTATTATTCAGCATATGGCATGTCAGAAAATAATAAATATTAGTCTATGTGCAAATATAGAGGAGTTAAAGAAAATAATAGAGGAGAAGTTCAGCATTCCGGCCTCAGACCAAATCATCACCTTTAAGGATAGAAATATAAACTTGAAGCACAAAACTCTGAACAGTTTTGGAATAGAGAATGGCTGTAAGATATTTGTTAAGAAAATAAATAGAATAACAGGGCAGGCCAAGCAGAGTGGGATATCGGATCTGATGAAGAATCCATTTATGAAGAGTATGCTGAAGAATCCCTCCATGCTGAAGGATATTATCGGGGACAACGATACAATAAATCAGATTGTTAATTCTGGCGGACTAGAAGAAGAGCTGGAAAGGATGGCCCAGGATGGAGACTATGTCAATACGCAGCTAAGAAATGTAGACTTAGCCATGGCCAAACTAGAGAATATGCCTGGAGGGATGAATATGATGAGTAGTATGCTAAAGGATGTTGATGATCCGCTAAGAAACATGCTGAAGCCAAAGAATAGCTTCAAAACCAGGGAGTTTATTACATCCAATACAATAACATCGATTCCGGGAAAAAATAAAGTGAATCCACTAATTGACTATCGAAATCAAAATAAAGAATTGGTTGAGTTAGGATTTACTAATATCCAAGAGAATTTCGAGGCACTTACTCGGAGCGAAGGAGATTTGGATAATGCACTGGAATATTTAACCAGTAAATACGATATAACCAATAAGTGATCTAATTAAATCATTTGATAGAAATGGAACTCTAGTCATCTTTAATAAATACTTTTTGGTTTCAGTTTTCTAAATGAGGTTGATACTTTTCTGTAAATTGTTAATCTTATGTAGGCATAGAGATAGTGATTACTACAGACAGTAAATAAGTTATGATAAATTAATTTATTGATGATTGATCATTTGTGGATATCCAACAATATGCTAATAAGTGTTGTTGTAAACACAAATATTCCAAACAAGAACGCACAATATGCAGTGATAGTAAGTGGTATAGTTCGCTCTACATCCAAGTTGAAGTAGTATAGGGCTGGCAAGACCAAGCACATGAAGGTTGAGGCAGTGGCTCCCACAATTGAGTAGACCAAGCTTAGTCCAACATCGGACACTGCAATTAAATATGTGGCTAGTATGAGTATAGATGTCAGTAGAAAGTTGAAAAATCTATAACCGGTATTTTTGGGAGTAATATTTACCATATTCATGAAGTATGTTTTACCTGGGCCAAGCTGAAGGGGATATGAAACACCCATTACGATAACATAGAGCCCATGGACCACTGTTGTTAAGATATCTTCTGGATAGCTGCTTAAAACATTGTCAGAGACATTCTCTCCATAGATCAGATAATTCGATATTCCAAATGACATATACAGTGCAAAGCATGAGCAGGCTATCATATAGATGAGCTTCTTCATTCGGGGCAGTGAGTTGTCTTCCAATTCGGAATAGATTGCAAAAATATTCTGATGGCATGTAAAGCTAAAAACGAATTTCCCGAAGCCACTCAACCAGAAAATGGAAATTGGCGTGGCAAGATACTCTATTTTTACCATATCATTCTTTCCATATAGCAGCCTCCACACTGATGCGACAACCACAAACAAGATCGAAACCAATCCGAGAAATGAGGTATACTTTAGTTTGTCCATTTTTTCCAGATAGCAGAAAGGCCCAATTATACAGAGGAACATGAGTAGACAGAACACTGGATTGGACAGAAATGTCTTTTTTCCCAGTACTGTTTCTATAAAACTAGGCAGCAACTGCTTTGTAATAATCATATAGGATGTGGAAACTCCAAAGCACTTTACAAAGACCGAGAAGTCAACAAAGAACCTAGTATATGGGACGGCGAGAGTTGCAAGCTTGCTCAAATCAGCAGTTCTACCGATGTCCTGGGAACATATACAGAGCAAAAGTAGTCCGGTTGCTGCAAAAAACCCACTCATTATGGTTAGCAATACGGTGACTGCTACTCCATATGTTTTAAAGAGGAATGGAAAATTGAGAACCCCACTTCCGATACTCGTTTTCAGCAGATTGACATACGCACTTCCTAAGGACTTCATAACAGTACAAACCTTTACTGTTTTCTTCATGAAAATAATATGAAACAGCGTTTTATGTATTTCCATTGGAAATGGGAACAGTTTTTGATCCCTAAAACCTTAAACTTTTCATTTCCACTCTGTAGAGAAACATCTTCCAAAATCTGCATTTGAAAGCACCAATATATCCATGGAGGATGATTTACTGTAGATAATCAGTGACTTCTGATAGACTACATATGTAGTTTGGTTACAAAAATATAGTTTGACAACAATACAAACATAAGTACATTTGCAATACCACCAGTTACAACCAGCCCTTATAAAACATGTAAAATCAGATATACGCAAAATGTTTATTTGTGAATTAATTCTGCTTCTTCAAATATTTGGTATACTTCAGCATTTTATTTTGAAGTCTTATTCACCCAAACTTCAAATATTTCTGCAGCGATAACTAGCTTTTTGTTGTTCTCAATAATATTCTCTAAACTTACATTTATTTCTTCCACCAATGTGTTTGTGGATTCAACAGAAGTCCTTAGTCTTTTGATGATCCTTTCTTTTTTCTCTGTTAGTGACATCAGTTTGGAGGTGGAAAGAAGGAGTATTTGTTGAAAAATGTAAAAACAGTATAAAAAAGATCTTCAGATAGTTTCCAGGCTAAAATGAACATGACAAGACGTCTATGACGATGGGAATATGCTATAGAGGTAAAAGCATTGGGATCACATTTTGAAGAGCCACAATGCATTAAAGTGATTTAAGTACTAAATTCACAGCTTATTTGAAAAATGACAGGACACATGTAGCTTAACTTCTTGATAAATTTTTATTCTCCAGTTTCATATCTTCATATACAAACTTTTACTTTCTTAATAATTTTTCAAAAATTTTAACCCCAAATGGAAAATGAAAATGTTAGAAAAGTAGTTTTTGAAGGAGATGACAACAATGAACAGATTGGCAGAGTAGATTCAGATACAAAGTGGGAAGAATTCAACTTGAAGCAGAATCTACTTAAAGGGATCTATGCTATGGGATTTGAGACGCCCTCCTTCATTCAGAAGAAGGCGGTACCGTGTATCGCAAGTGGGTCGAACATTAGAGCTCAAGCACAGTCAGGAACGGGTAAAACAGGAGCATTTGTTGTTGGTACTCTCGAGAGGATAGATGATCAAATGGCAGAGACCCAATGTCTTGTGATTGTATCGACGAGAGAAATTGCAAAGCAAATACACCATAACTATGAGAGTATTGGAAAGTACATGAATGTGAATACGATCCTGCTGACGGGTGGACGTAATAGGAGTGATGATGTGAAATTGTTAAATGAAAGGCCAAATCATATAATTGTTGGTACACCGGGACGAATTTGTGATTTGTTAGAAGACAAGATGATTAAAGCAGAATTTATAAGAATACTTGTATTGGATGAGGCAGATGAGATGTGTAAGGAGGGATTTATCTTGCAAGTGAGATCGATCTATGATTATTTAAATGCAGATACATTGCAAATATTGTTTTTTTCAGCAACATATTCATCAGAGGAGTTGAAGACAATATCGAACATAGTAGAGAATCCTGTGGAGATTGATCTGAGAAATGATGAGTACACTCTTCAGGGAATCAAGCAGTATTACGTTAATATTGGGAATCAGTTTGGGGGGAAGTTTTCAATCGAAAAGAAGAGACAAGAGTTGATCTACAAAGTTCATACTCTGATGCATATCTTGGCAGGACAGTCACTCTGTCAGATTATGGTTTTTATTAGAAGGAAGGGAGATGCTCAGGATGTGTATTCAGTTTTGGACCAGAACAAATATTCCTGTACATTGATTTCATCGGAGCTATCACAGGAAAAGAGGGAGGCAGTTCTGAGTAACTTCAAAACAGGTAAGAAGCGAATACTTGTTACATCAGATTTGTGTAAGAGAGGAGTTGATATTCAAGGCCTGTCGGTGGTGATTTGTTTGGATGTGCCACCAATTGATTCCAAAGAAGATTTCATTCACAGGGTGGGTAGGTCCGGTAGATATGGTAGAAGGGGTGTTGCACTACACATTGTGAATGATTTTGAATTTCAGAATCTGAACCAGATTTCAGAATCATTTGGATCTACACTTGAGGCGTTGCCAAAGACGTTCTCGTTTAAAGAATAAATTACGTACTTTATATTGATATGGATTTTAGTATTTTTCAACAAAATCATTTGTCATTGGCTTGATTAAATAATAAATAACCATCGACATCATATTGATGGATGCATTAGGGATATTCATTGTTAATTGATGGTGAAGTAAGATGTTGTAGCTTATCTGATGTCCAACTGGCACAAGAAATCATTCTTTTTGTTTTTTAGCTGACCCTTCCTTTCATGAATTCTAAAAGAGACATTCCCACTTTTAAAATTATCACCTTAGGGGGTTCAAATGTGGGAAAGTCTAGCATCCTGCTAAAATACATCAAAAACGAATTCAGTGAGAACATGGCAAATACAGTGGGAATAGACAATATAAACAAGGTGGTAAATATAAAAGAATGTGGAAATGGCAACGGTGGCTGTGCTGAGGATTTGACTGATATGCCTATCCATTTACAGATTTGGGATACAGCAGGCCAAGAGAGATTCAATTCGATAGTCAAATCATACTATAGGGGCGCAGATGCATTTCTGTTTGTCTATGATGTCACTGATCATCGCACACTCGAGTATGTGGAAAATAGAATTTCAGAGCTGATGCGAGAAAAGGTGAGTATAAGACATGCAGTGATTATTGGCAATAAGGCAGATTTGATAACTGCCAAAAGACAAAGAAAAGAGGAAATTTTAATCAGAAATATTGCAGTTAAACTAAATAGAATGTTCCTTGAAAGGGAGGTGGAGGATAAAGAAGTTCAAGTATCAAAGAAAACTGTAGTGGAACCATTCGAGCTCAGTAGAAACGAGTCTGCAACTTCTCTCACTAATATTATGTGTGATGGAGAGTTAATAAATATCCAAAACAAGGAGATTTGGGACTATTGTCTTACTAGTGCTTTGACAGGCCAAAATATTATAGAGATGTTTGATAAGCTATCCAAGTGTCTATATGGGATTGATAAGGAAACTCCAGAAAATGTAATAATTAAGAAAAAGAGAAAGTGCAAATTTTGCTGATGAAGTGATCATTTAGTTAATAAATATGTTTATGCCTCAGAATGTATAAAATTTAGTTTATTTTTATTGGTATACTACCATAAGTCCTATTTATGGAAACAATAATATCCATAGCCTCAACCCCATCCTCAACCGTTATAAATTCAATTAGTAAGCCAGATTTGGAATCCCAAACTGCAATGTTAACTCCATCTGTCGTATAAATGTGGCTGCCTGTGAAGTCGAGCAATATTTGACGTATTGGCTGAGTGTGGAATTCCATTTTTGTAAGTTCCTTTCCTGAAAGATCAAATCCATACAGAATTTTGTCCACAGCTGCATATATTTTAGAAAACAGTGGATCTACTACTGCCACACAAGTGAGATTTCCTGGAAATCCAATATCAAATAATTTCATGAAAGCCTTCGTACCAGAATTACGATTGTGAGTTGAATTGGCTAGAGGATCTGTACTTGAATATCGATACAGCACACATTTGTTGAACTCCCCTACTATTAGTGTGTCCAAGATATTAAATGAACATTGGCCAGGAATAGATTGTAGGGATTGTAGATTACAATCAAGAATACTTAGTGCCGATGAACTCTGAACACCTATCATAGGTATGCTTTTGTAAATGGTGTTGTTTTGCAAGTTTCCTGAATCAGTACCTGAATTGTTTTTCCCATCAACCTCCCAGTGATCAAATCTGATCAATCTAGATGTTTCATAGTTTCCCTGCTTAATATTGAAACTATCGTCAAAATGTGAAATTATCTCGTTAGCATTCAATATAAACAGCCCACGGTTCATCAAAATCATCTGAGTGATGTTCCTCTTGTAATCTACTTCTGAAATCCGATTGACTGGTGAAGTGGTAAATATTTCAATTGTATTTCCAAATGAATACAAATGTGTTTGAAGAGGATTGATTGAGAAAACATTTGGCAGAACTTTTATTGCTGTTGTGGACAATTTCAAGTCCTTTTTGGTGCTGGATTGAATAAAAAGCAATTTTTGGAATACTGACATTTTGCTGGGGTTTAAAAAACTACTGTGGCTACACTCAGTAAATTATTCTCAGGCGAATTCCTATTTGTGTTTAATCACAGAGATAACTAAAACATTAATGTTCATTAAGAAACACAGATATAGAATATCATCAATTTTAAGTTGGTCTATGTTCATAGACTAGTAAACAAGTACTCTAAAAAACTCATTAAATAGACTTTACTAAGTGAATTTATTCAATGCTGTGTCCGCGTCTCTTTGGCCTTACCTTGTTAATTGCATAGTTGACATGAATTGGCTTTCCAGAAACAAGCTTTTGATCACACTTCTCCTTCAATGCTGCTTGTTCCTTCTGATCGTTGCACACTACAAACATGAAGTTCTGCTTATCCTTTGGCTCAACAATCTTCATTCCCTCAAATAGCTTACAGAGCTCATCATGGTCTGTTCCTGGAGAATATTGAACATAAAGCTTATTCTCTGAAATAACACTCTTCATTCCCTGTAACGAATCTGATGAGGCGAAAAAGGGAAGGAATTTCTCTCCCTTCAATGCCAATCCACCCTTCTTTTCAATACTCGACTTTGCATCCTCACATGTCTCTGCCGACGAGAATTCAACAAAGAAATTCACAGTGTCAAAATTCCTTGGGCTGAACCTTTTGATTAGGACTACATGTTCCTTCACATACTCCAATTCCTTAGCCAAGTCGAGAATTGTGGTGCTGCTTGGCGTCTTGCTTATTCTCAGGATGGTTGTCTTTCTTTCTGTCCTTGTGTAGGATTCTGAGTTTGACATGGGGTAAATTTTTCAAAAATATTTCAATAGAAAAAAAGGTTCAGCTCTGTCGAGACAATGTATTTTATTTAAATAGTAAAGTTTCTTGTATTCCACCACCTTCTCAAGAATTAATTTGTTGGAAATAACCAAGAAGACACTCCACAATCTATAGTTTGATCATGGTAACGTTAATGGCTTACTACATAATCGAGTAAGGGTTTCTATTCATTGGCCCGCTCATCATTGTGCCTATTAAAAATCACAAACAATCAACAATTGTTTTACGTCATCTAGCAATAACACCTTTTTGAAACCAAATCTGTGTGATTACAATACTGGCTTATAGTCTGATTAGAGGACTTGATATTCCTCAGTGATTTATGAAGTAATCCATGGTAGTAACTAGCTTCTACATATTGGCAATTGATTATTCAAGAGGTTTGGCCAAGTCACTATAGATGGTTAAGTACTGCATATCCTGTAAATTTATTTGTCAATACTTTCCATTCCATAATCCCAAGGTATCTGTTTTCTGACTAGACCTTAATACAGCAAAGTGTCCCATCATCACAACCACAATACAATCTACACTCTTCACTGGTTATACATGTTATTTCACCCTCACAAATATTGCCAAATTCTGCTACTGTGTCAAATTTAGAGTTTAATAGAACAACACAGTTCCTATTACAACAAATGGCCATCCAGTTCTTCTCTTTAACATGACAAATAGCAACAATCGGCGTTACAGAGTATTGTAATTCCTTGTCTTTTGTCCATATGCCACAGTTCCTGTCAAATACCATGATTTTACCATTTTGTAGCGATGCAACCATTCTTTTATCAAAAAATACCACATTCCAAACAATATCGCCACAATCTATAACCTGTACTATTTCAAACTCACCACCATCAATAGATGAATACTCATAAATATTTATTGTGTGGTCATATGACCAGGTATATAGTTTGCAATTACCCTTGCTAAAATCGGTCACTTCAGAAGAAGTCTTTGGCTCTATCCTTTCAAATAAGCTACCCTTCACATCTTGTGTGTGATCATTTAGTATCTTTGATATTTCAATTCCTGACAGTGTATTTTCCAGGATCCAAACTGTCTTGCCCCTTGTACTCAATGAAATGAGATTTTCAAAAAATGCAATATTTTTTATTTCGGTCTCTGGACCCTCAACGATATCCAGATACTCATCTAATGTTTTGCATGCATCTTTTTTTATCTCGAACTTGCCATCACAGGAATCGATACTGGCTTCCAACATACTCTTCCTTTCACAAGTACAGTCCCCTCTTCTAAAAATCATGGCCTTTCCATCATAACTGGCACAGCCAACAAACTCTTCAGACCCAGAAATTGATCGAACTGATTTTTCGAAAGTAGCCAGGACTCTTCCATGCGATAGATTAATAAAGTTCTTGCCAATCCCAACATAAATAGATCTGTTGACAAAGACTGCCAGAATTCTATCTTTTAATTTTACTTTCCATTTGATATTCATTTTGAGGGAGTTTTGAAAATTTTAAGTAAAAAGTTCTAAAATCTTCTTCTCTTCATGTGGTTAGCTCTCTATAGAATTATCCCACAATCAAATTAGATAAGTAGTAAATCACATGAATTCCCCAATAATATATATATGCACTCGAACAGATGTGAAGCAATCAATAGATTTGACAAGTTATTCTTATGGCCTCATGACCCCTTACCATGATTTTCGTTAGAAATGTTCGTCCTGGAGATTTTATCTTTGAAGAAGGAAGGAAATGCTTTGGAATTTATGAGAGTAGGGCAAGTATTGCTGGACAACTATGCAAGATAGAAAATCTTTACTTCATAAAAAGTAAAACATGCCTATATTCACCTAGAAAGTTTGACATCGTGGTCGGGCGTATTTTTTATGTAAATCCAGATTATTACAAAGTTGATCTGCATGGATTTACTGGAGTCCTTCCATCACTTAGCTTCTTAAATGCAACCAAACGAAACAAACCGGAGTTGATGAGAGGTGATTTGGTGATTGCACAGGTAGTTAATTTATCGGAGAACAACGAGAATGGGGAACCTCTATTATGCTGTAAGGCAGAAGGATTGGGGAAGATTGATGAGGCATTTCAGCTGGAACCCTGGAAAGTACGCCTTCTGTATTTCAGTGACCTACTAGAGCATACTCCTTACGATTTTAAGATCGCCCTTGCCATGAATGGCTTTGTTTATTTGGAAGGCTCTGGAGAGACAAAGAGAGAAGTTTTGCAGATTCTACGTGAATTCTTTAGTAGCTCAACGGTCAGACAGTAGGAAAGTGTATGAATATAGCAATAATAAATTCAGCAAATTATTTTGAGGATATACCTCGGTTTTGATAATCTTCTTTAAATAATAAACTCAAACACTTGTTTTTGACCGTATTCCTGCCAAATAGCCCAAAAATACTTCCAGGGCAATGAAAACCATTAAAATCCTTAAAACCAGTTTATTTAATATGCTTTGGGAGGCAAAACAGTAATTTTATCTGGAAGCAAAGAACTTGGGCCTTTATTTCCATCTGCATCGTATGGAAGCATTACCGACACCTGAATTCCAATAACCCCCTGCTTACACTTGGCCTCAGCAATGGTTTTTTTAATGTACTGTTTGGCTGGTGCTCCAGACTGAATCAATAATCCGTCAAAAAACTTGATAGAACGAGCTCTTTGGCCCTTCAATTTTCCTGAAACCCTCACCATAACACCCTGGCCTCCTGCTGTTCGTACATTTCTAATAATAGAATTAATAACCCTCTTGTATGGTTTGTTTGTTAAAAAAGCCTGTCTTAACTGCTCTGCATGCACAGCTGGCTCAAGACCCCTCTCGTTAATCTTCTCAAACACAATGTCTACATTGTTGGTTGGCACTGCAAGCCTCTGTGCAACCATGTTTTGAAGCTGTCTAAGTTTGAATTTGTTCT